AGATCCAAAAGAGGTAATAGTTCACCCTAACTAATTGAAGGCTGCAATTTCTGATCATTTTGGTCTTTTCAATCACTTCTCTTGCAAATTGTTCATTTATTTACAACTGACCACTGCTTTTAACTCGTTCAGAAAAAGAACTGGAATAACATGTGTAGAATTAAGACTTTGGCTAATCAGTTTATATTTTTCTGAATTTTCAAGGCAAGAGCCGGTATAACAGAAGTTCACTTCCTTCCATTCAATCCAACTGATAAAAGAACTGCACTTACGTATGTTGATGCTGATGGTAAGATGCACAGGGTTAGTAAAGGTGCACCAGAACAGGTACAATTGAATGTCAAAAACCATTGTGATTACAACACACCGAAGAAACTTTTTTGTGTTATTAATCCATTCTCATATTTAATGCAGATTCTCAATCTTTCATATAACAAAGCCGAGATTGCACAGAGAGTTCATACCATTATTGACAAGTTTGCAGAACGCGGACTACGGTCCCTTGCAGTAGCCCGGCAGGTTTATTTTTTAATAAATTTTTTTTATGTTACGAATGCTTTAGCATGTTGCATATATATGTGTGTTTATGTTGAGATATTTGAGTTGTGTGATTAGGAAGTACCTGAAGGAACTAAAGAAAGTGCAGGAGGCCCTTGGGAATTTGTTGGCCTTCTTCCACTTTTTGATCCTCCTCGCCATGATAGTGGGGAAACAATCAAAAGAGCTCTGGATCTTGGTGTGAGTGTCAAAATGATAACAGGTATGTCTTGACATAGCTTGAAATTTTCATGACAACTAATAATGTTTCATGCAAATGCCTTTTTGGCTTTAACCAAAGTGATCATTTTATGTTCTTTTACTTGAAAGTTGTACTAGAAGAAAAGGAAGAAAGCCTCAGAAGCTCTTGTTGTTCTACATTGTGCTTGTTATTATTAAAGAAGATTCAGTTATCGTGTGAAACTGAGGAATGACCTCAAATTCTTGCCACATAACTGATATCCATGAGAAAATTAATAATCCCTTAATACTAGTGTACTGAAAACACTTCATTCATCAACTTATACCTTTAAGGCTTGTATCTGGACTCGTATCATGCTTTTTATGAAAACCCTATGCAGGAGATCAACTTGCAATTGCTAAGGAAACAGGAAGGCGTCTAGGAATGGGTACTAACATGTATCCTTCTTCATCTCTTCTTGGTGAACACAAGGGTGAAACACTTGAGTCTCTCCCAATTGATGAGCTCATTGAGAATGCTGATGGATTTGCTGGTGTCTTTCCTGGTAAGTGAAACAATATTTAATGCGTTAAGGCTTCGTATATTTCAAAGTTTTGTATTTCTAATCATGCATATTTCTTTCAGAGCACAAGTATGAGATTGTGAAGAGGTTACAAGCTAGGAAGCACATTTGTGGGATGACGGGTGATGGTGTAAATGACGCTCCTGCCTTGAAGATAGCTGACATAGGTATAGCCGTAGCAGATGCCACTGATGCTGCTCGAAGCGCATCTGACATAGTTCTAACAGAACCTGGATTGAGTGTGATCATAAGTGCTGTTTTAACTAGCCGTGCTATCTTCCAAAGGATGAAAAACTACACGGTAGCCCTTCTACTATCAATTAATGCTATCCTATGTTATCAAGAAATATTCAGTTTGGCCCTACTTGTTTCCATTAGTGCAAATTGATCCTTCAAGTACAATGTAATCCACTCATGAATACAAAGTTATTGGTGTATGACATTGACGACCTAATGCCAGCAGCGTGTGTTTTAGTTTGGTTGTGTCGCTGACAAGTTAGCTTTAAAAGCAAGTGACATTTCATTTAAAAATTGTCATACCAATTTTTGGATGAAATTGGAGATGTAAGAAAGGATCCTAAGTTGCATACAGATCTTGATTTCCTTCGTCTTCTCTTTTTCTGCAGATATATGCCGTGTCTATCACCATACGTATTGTGGTAAGCTCTTTTTTTTTTTTTTTTAATTTGCATATGGAATACATGTGGCAGTGGATCAAATCATCAATCTTCTTTTCTTTTATTCTCTATTTCTCTCCCTTTTTTGGTCCTTTTCCCTAAAATCTTCATTAATTTCATATTGCAGCTGGGCTTTATGTTATTGACCTGCTTTTGGAAATTTGACTTCCCTCCCTTCATGGTTCTTATAATTGCCATTCTCAATGATGGTAACATTATTGCAATTTTCCATCTCTCTATCTCTATTCTTAGGGGACAAATGCTTACATGAATGCATATTTTTGTTTGTTGGCGCCTTTCTAGGTACCATCATGACAATATCTAAAGATAGAGTTAAGCCATCTCCAGCACCTGATAGTTGGAAGCTCAGTGAAATTTTTGCAACTGGGATTGTCCTTGGAAGTTATCTGGCTCTAATGACTGTGATATTCTTCTGGGCAGCTTATGAAACTGACTTTTTCCATGTAAGTCCCTTGTTTCTACATGGTCATTTTGTGCTTGTCTTCCAAGGAACTTCATGAAATGGAACATTCTGATGCAGAACCATTTTCATGTGGAAAACTTCAATTCAAACCGTCGCGACATGTCAGATAAAGAAGTCGCCAGGGTGCTGAATGAGAAAATGGGATCTGCAGTGTATCTTCAAGTCAGCATCATCAGTCAAGCGTTAATCTTTGTAACTCGCTCTCAGGGATGGTCTTACACCGAACGACCTGGTCTTTTGCTCGTTATTGCTTTCATTATTGCTCAGCTGGTACCACCTTTTTCTCAACCTTCTCATAATTTCCTAAGATACTGTCACCTATGGAAACTTTTTGACTTGAAACAGTGCATAGAGTCTAAAGACTTACTATACTTCATGCTTAATCTTTATTGTTTTGCAAAGAGAACTCACACACACACACACAATTGTTGGAAGTCACCAGTTTCCAAATCAAGTGTCAGTACAGTTTTTCTCTCCAGTTGCATTTGCATAAGCTTTTTTCTCTTTGTTGTATTTTCACATTTTGAAATTCAAATCCCAAAACACAGGATCTATTGTTCTAATTGAAAATAGAAATGATCAAACTCTTGACCACTTTATCAGAATGGTTTTGATACCATGTCAAGAATTACTTAAATAATTAACTTTAAGCTCAGGTTGAAATTGCTCTAGAAAAAACCAATGAAGTTTTCCTTTCAAAAGCTTATTCGTGGATGGAAGTATCATTTGTTATTTATCGGTTAAAACTTTTCTTCCAGTAGATTTTCTTCCGGAGAAAAAAATAATTTAAAGCTTTGACCGAAAAATTTTCTTGGGGTAGTTAATAACAGTTGGTAAAGATATCTAAATGCTGTATTTTTATTGAACAAACACTTAATCTCGTCATTTGGTTTTATATCAAAATTTCAATGAATTCACCATTACATTCTCCCCAGGTTGCAACAGTTTTATCTGCCACTGTGACCTGGAAAGTTGCTGGAATCAGAAAAATAGGCTGGAAGTGGACCGGAGTCATTTGGCTGTACAACATTGTGACATATGTACTGTTGGATCCTATAAAATTTGCTGCCCGTTATGCGTTAAGTGGAAGGGCTTGGAATTTGGTCGTAAATCAAAGAGTAAGTATGATCAAGTTTTCACCGAGTCTAATAACAAGCTAGGTCGAGATTTTTCTTTTTTTCAGGCCAAAAAAAAGCGACTTGTCCATATGATCAAACTTAGAAGTTTTGGACTTTTAGGTGTCATTTTTCCCAATCAAACCAGGATGCCCCGTGATAGTTAGTGATAGTAGAACAAAAACACTGGAGGGTTGAACCACAAACTTTCAAATATGAGGAAAGCAGATTACTCCTTCTAGTCCTTATTATAATAACTTATTAACAACTTTACATTGGTTCAGAAATTCAGTTAAAATTAGTTCATATTTTTTTAAAAAAAAACTTTGGAACTACTTCAATAAAGCTTAGGTTCTTTTAACAAGGATTAGAGAAAGTAATTTCATGTAAAACCACGGGGAGTACAATATGATTTACCCTTATTATTATGCCAGACTCTAGATGATAAACCTACAAATCATGCAAAGAGATTGGTGTTACTATGTATTTCTTGTTTATGTGATTAACAGACTGCATTCACAAACAAAAACGACTTTGGAAGAGAAGCTCGTGAAGCTGCATGGGCAGCTGAGCAGAGAACCCTGCATGGTCTTCAATCTGCTGCCGAGTCAAAGACATTTGCAGAGAAACACACATTCAGGGAAATCAACACTCTAGCAGAAGAGGCCAAGAGAAGAGCTGAAATAGCAAGGTCAATCTGCATTCTCATTCTATTTTCTCTTCATTTTTATTCTTTTTTTCCCCTCCTTTTTGCCTCTTTTTTTTTTTTTTTTTACCCTTTTGTTAATCTTTTTCTTTCTGTGCAGGATGAGAGAGCTTCACACTTTGAAAGGAAAAGTGGAATCATTTGCCAAGTTAAGGGGTTTGGACGTTGAAGCTATTAATGGGCACTACACTGTCTAAAAGACCATGTACCTGATATATCATCAACCTTCATGGATAAATTTACTCATGTTTAAAATTTTTGTCCCCATAATTGGCTATACTCCAATAAATGAAAAGTCTACAATCCTGTCTTCCTTTCCTGGCCAAGCTATCACAATATCCAATATGTTATTGCTTCATCAGGATTGATTAGATGATTTACCTGTAAGCACTGGATTGTGAACTCTTTTTCTTTTCTTTTTTTTTTTTGGGTCACATTTTGCTGAGTGAAATATATTTAAACTTATAACTACGAAGATTACTTATGTACTGCCTATTGGGTCCTCTTTCTGCTTATATACCTAGTGATGGGGTCTCTTATATCTGATTTGAATGTTAAAAATTGCCAAAGTGGGGGAAAAAAAAATTGTTCCGATATTATAACTAAAAGAGCGTGTCGAGTCTAGCAAGAGATACATGCACTTAAAAACTACTCTTTCCTATTCAATTTGGTTACATTTTGATACTTGTATTTTGAACGAATAGGAGTATTTCGAAGTAAAAGATAGAACTTCAAGATATATCTCATTTTGGGATAACTTAACCTTGGGTTAGAAACACATTCTAACAAGAGCCGAATAACACCCAATACATATCACCAAAAAAAAAAACACCCATTACAATGTCACATTCTTAAATTTACATTTAAGCATGTCCAGCAATCTCTTGCTCTTGTCTAAAAGGTTTATTATCAGTATGAAGGATTTTTGGTAATTGCATCAGGTAAACGAACATTTATGGAATCAACAATAACTTTTAGTATTCCCTTCTTTTCAAAAGACATGAACTCCCTCACACAAAGCTTGCATGCTTCCATCTACTTCATAATGTCATTGAACAGCGAGGATCTCTCTGGGCATGACTTATTAAGCAAGTTTAGCAGATCAACTCCTCTCAGTTTCTCTAGAAGCTCATTTTCTAGAGGCTTGGGGACTTGCTGAAGCACAAATGGGAATTTGACAAATAGCTTCAGAAGGTAATCCAACTAACTGCTTAAAACAGAAGGCACAAAAAGAAAAAGAAAAAAGAAAAAGGAAAAAAAAAAAAAAAAAGGATGCACCTACCGTTCTCAACCATAGGATATAACAAGCGGAGTGTTTTGCTTGTGATTGGAGATCCTCAAAGTCATTATCCAAAATAGTTGAGCAAGACTTCGCCAGACATAATTCATTCTCCAGAAATTCTCCAAATTCATGATACTTGCTGGCTGTCTCCTTGGAAGCATTGGATGTATTACTCGACTCTGTTAGAAAATGGTTGATCCAGCATGAGGAAAGAAACCGCCGATGAAGCCACAGAGCCTGTTCAATATAAGCAACATGAAACATCTCAGGTGATAAGAAAATTACTGAAATAGCACAGAATGGAAAGTGAAACTAAGTCCATTGTTCCAGCAACCTGTAAGTATCATCATGATAGGTTAGCTGTCCAGCTCGTGATATTAGAACAAACCAAACCTTATCCCGGCTGACCCATGGATCATTATCATAAACTAATTATAATAATGATAACTGATAAATAAGGCCCCATACCTCTCTTCCAACAAAACGATTTACCAATGTTCTGTTCCAGTCAAGTTCATCCTGTCAACCCAAAAGTGTAAAAAAGTAACATACAGGCGTGAGCGCTTATACTGATGATTAAAAGAATAAAAGATCACAGCTATTTCCATAACTACAAAAGCGCTTGACACACTGACATCCAAAATTATGACCGGTCATAGGTTGATACCTTACCAGGATGGGGATCGTCTGAAGTTGAAGAAGATCCCCTAATGTGAAGTAGCAGCTTCAACACTTTCGCCTTTTTTTTATTTTTTATTTTTAAATTTTTCCATTACAACTTCATTGAATTCAAAAATCAGGTGATATATTTCCCATCGTACCCCAAAAAAAAAAAAAAAAATCCTTGAGGAACCTCTATCACACCTCTGTTAACCTTGTGAAATTTCATAAATACCACTTGCATCCTTTCTATAGATTGCAATGGCAAATTTGCCCATCTTACCATGATATCCGACATCATGGGATCCAAGATACTGTGCAATGCGAGATTACAACACGCCAAACGCCTCCCGTTAATACTTTCCATTTTCAATTTTTTGTAGCATACCTCGTACAATTTTTTATCTCTGGTTAATGGCACGCTTCGAATGTTTTGCCGCTGAAGTGTTGTCACAATCGAGCTATTTCAATAATGACTGAAATAATATGCATCTTCTAAATTACAAGCCACCAGAACGGTGATTGGCTACCTAATGAAATGTGCTTCCTCTGTCAAAGCAAGTCAGCAGTTGGATTCTTAGGCCCTTGGTTAAAATTTTTAATTTTTAAAAAGTAGTCGTGACCTTTATGTAGGACCCATACCTAATCAATGATTCAATATAAACTTCATAGCAAGCATAAAATTGTTGTGGAACGCCCAACCATGTTTGGAGAATGGGTATAGGCAGAGTAGAAGAGAAACCTTTCTACACAAGTCTCCATTTACTATTTCACAAAGAGTTTCCCACGTCTTGTGTCTAACAATGTTTCCGTTTTTGAAACCAAATTGTCCCTAGTAGTTTGCATCATCAAAGAGAAGCACAAAGAGGACTAAAGCTAGCTAAGAATACTGACAATTTGAGTGCAAAATATACGAGCTTTACCTTCCAAAGCTGCTCCATATCAAAATTGTAACCAGAAGATACACATCTCCTACAACTTGAGTCCTCCAAAATCTTCAGCAATAGACGCTGCAATCAAGAAAACTTCAAATATGACGTGCAAATTCTCAAACTCATCACTTGACATGATATCTACATCTCTAAACTAGAAAGGAATAATGATAATAAGTAATAACCATTGATCACCGGGTCCAAGCAAGTAAATCAAAGTTCAAAACTTACTCTGCGGTAATGAAAGCAAGAATTATCAGCAATATGCTGCGCAGCCCAATTTCTGGCTCTCTTCAATTCATGCAGAACCTACAGAAACACAATTTTTTAATCCATTGCTGGAAATTCAACATCACATATAACACCACTCATGTCAGCCTGCTTGTGCATTTTGTTATTGCTCTAGAGTCTAGATCTTAAATTCACATGAGACAGAGAGCCTATGGAACTCCTAATATATTAAAAGCAAACCTGTTCTGTTTTCATGTAAGAAACTAACCAGCATCGGTGATTCCAAGCACGGTAATTCATCTTTGATCTCTGAAAATACAGGATTAAAAAGGAATAAATGAATATTCACCTAAAGAAAATACAGTTCATCGGACATCAAAGTATCAAAGTAGTGATGATAAAAGGTAAATGGATGACAGAAACCTAGTAAAATTATTCATAGCTCTCTCCATCCTGTTTTCTTCAATTTCATCCCTTTTACGATAAAAGGTGGATGTTTTATCCATTATTCCATCTTTATGACTTCTATTTCATTATAATATCAAAAGCAACTATAACTGCAGAAACAAATTTGAAATAGTTCAATTGCCAATTTGACTGCAGAATTTTCTATTATCCATTGTGCAGATTTTGTGCAAACGATCAAGGATAAATGAAGGCAAACACAAGATTTATACTCTTTCTGCGTAAACAAGCTCTATGAACATCCAAAGAGAAAAATAAAACCTTTCCAATTTAACAATATGTAGTTCCTACACAGAATTAAGACCTCAGCTATTTTTTCCACCAGCTCAGATTCTTTCTCTAAAATCTCGTTGAAATTTGAACAGTTTGCAGAGATTGACTTGATTACCCACCGCCTGGCAGTAACACATACTGTAAATTAGAATGCTATTCGATTTTCAAAACTGCTTTAGGTTCAATCTATAGTCAAGAATTAAAGCATGATCAACAAGTATCCTTTAACTGATGGAGACAAAGCCATAACTAGAATATATACAATACCTATGGCTCCAAGCTTGTTCACTTTTAGGCGCATATGAGAGCACAAGTGCTGAAAGGTGAAGTTCATCCATAAACACCGAGGGTTGATTCTTCTTGGAGAGTACATACTTTCTATAACAAGTGTAGGAAAAATTTGAGGGGTTTGCCACAAAAAGTGAAACTAATTGCCTCTTATATTATTTTACCATAAAAATTGAAACTAGTTTCATCTTATATTATTTTACCACAGTTCTGATTTCAATGTACAATTATGTTCTCAAATCCGTGAAAGGAAAATGCAAAGAGATAGCTCAAATGAAAATTCACATGATAAGATTACCATGAGGGATTTCAAAAAAGCATAGAAGACAATTTATGTTGTCTTCAAACTTATGATGTTGACTTACAGATATCAATAAGATAACTAAAGCATACAAATGATTAGAATAGAACCTGCAATTCCAAGCAGTTATGAAGTCACAGCTCAGCAGCAGAAGGGATCTGCTATGTCTCATAAGTATACTTTCAAGATGATCACAGGATGGAAAGGCATATGACGAATCGACAACTTTGTCAGATTGAATATTAGATGCCTTGTATTGTTTAAATGCAGACATAAATGATTGTTTAGCAGATCTATATAATTGTAGAAGAATTTGGGTTGAAATTCCCAGCTTATGATCCCTGTTCCAAAAATATAAGTTCTCTTGGTTGGAAGCATCAAGAAGTGATTCCACAGAGCTTGCCGTCCTTTCTGCTGATGGATGCAAAACTTCTTCAGGTGAATCACCGGGAATACCCGATTCATCATTAAGCAAGGAGAATTGAGACGGATGAATATAGCCCATTTCATCACTAATCCAGAAGCCAAAGATAAAAATCATTAAATAAAGGCAACATATACCAACAGGATGCTATCCAAGTCGAAGTTATATCTTCAGATATCATTCTACGAACCATAGACTTTGCATGAATAGAGTTCAGTACGTCTAAAAATGGTTCCCATTAACCATTCATGAGGCAAATGTAAAACTAATTAACTAAGACAGAAGACAGCATATTAAATAACAAGGAGCCAGTTGCAGGACGTACAAACATCAAGGCACCAACATGTTCACAAAATTGTGCAAAAGGTCATACCAACAATATTTAAAAATGGAAAAAAAAAATTTAAAAAAAGTCCCTAAAGGTTATACCAATAAGATTTAAAACCAAAAAATTAAAAAAAATAAAAATAAAAAATGTCCCTTGTAAAAATTGAGGTATCATTTTGAACATGATATACCAACATAGTAGCTAAACCCTTCTTCAACCAACACAACTTCCAGAAGTTTAGAGACAGTTCAAGGTCCTTGTAGATAAATAAAAGAGATTTTTCCCAAAATATCAGTAGCAAGAAACCAAAATAAACCCTCTAGAAATGAGATAAATGACTAAATATGAGTCATTTCAACAATCTGCAAGTGAAACAACAAAGTATGACGTCAATGTCATTGCAGGCGAAATAACGCCCAAAATTATTGCCGACATTTAATACTGGATAAAACAAACTTGCAGAAAGAATTAACTGCCTTCTATTTTCCTTATCTCATTTAAACCATACAGAAGACATATTCCAAACCTGCTGATTTAGCATTAAAGTGTTCATTCTCTATGAAATGTCATAAATTTCTCAAGTTTATGAACCAACCACTGAGGCAACCATTATATCAATCACACTAAACACATGTAATCATTAAACTTACATTAGTGGGTCATTTTCAAATATGTCTTCCAACTGATGCAATAGATTCAAGCCTTTTTCTTCTGAACATGATTCTTTGCTCATGTTTGCTGTCCTAGTTGCCATAGGCACCAGATTCAAACGTTAAAAAAACACCCAAAAAAAAAAAAAGGGGATCAATTAACAAACCAATTTCATTAATTTATACATGAAAACTCAAGTCAATGAACATAAAATCTCTTCTCAAATATGAAAGGAATAGAAAATATCAAACTATCACTAGCCATAAATGCTTGCTAACTGAATATCAATCAAAATGATCACCAAAAGGCCCTATAATTATGCTTTAAAGTCCTCTCCTATCTTAACATCTCTTTGCAGTTGAAAAGGCAACATTTATCCCTCCTTTTAGTGATCCTCTAAACTTTCATCCCCTCTTTTCTAGATGAGATATTGAACCACATAATGGCCCAAGATGCTATATAAATACGGCTGATGACTGACACTCATGCATTCAAATGTATACATTGAGGAAGGTCTATATGGTAGTCAACACACCAAAATTAGCTAGTACATTCTTTTGAGAGACAATCACCAAGTTGTGTGGTTTTGTTTAACATACGTCCTCCCATGCCTCACCGAGATGGTACCATTGCAAACTTTTCCTGCTTATATTCACCCTTCCTAGGTCCTTCTGATATTTTCCCCACGATAATAAGTTAATAGCCACAACAAAATTTCCTCTAGCGAAAAGAAGATGAAGATATAGCAGCTCAACAATAATCCTCATCCTAGTATCTGAGGTCAGGCATATAATTCGCACAATATCAGTATAGTCAGTCAACAACCAACTATTCAACTATACTATTCACAAGATGAAGATATAGTAGCTAACAAAAATAATCTAATAGCATGCTACGTTCATTTGCGTTGAGGTGCAATTTTAGTCTCTTTCATCATCAATAATAACTCTTTGGAAACTAATTGAAGTTCAGCCATCTTAAATGGAAAAAATTAGATTCAATTGCATTATCCTTTTCACCTAGCTAATCAGCACATCCTAGTTAACCAGATCAAGAACAAAGCACCGCAAGTGCTTCAGACGAACCCCTTTTATATTCCGCACTTATCTGCACTAAGTTCGAATTGTCTATTGTGAATATGCAAACCCCCGAATCCTATTTAATTTACACCTCATAACCTTCAAAGAAATGAATCATGAGTAAAGGAAATGATCGTACAATAAAGTCACAAGGGCTCACCTTTCAAATGCGGTAGCAGGCTCTCTACAATGAAACACCGAGTAAAATCTTAGGAACAAGACAGCGACTTTTCATTTACAGGAAACGATATTAGTCATTAGCATATAAAACTTTTCTCCTAAAGCAGCAATGGACAATCCGGTGCGGATACCAGCTTCAAGAAGGATTCGCCTTCAAAATACAGAAATTTCCCATTCTTGCTGACAACAATCCAGCCCTGCGGCACTTCCTCTTCATTCTTCAGTGTTTGCGGTCACCGACTTACCGTCTTCATCCACGGCCTCAGCAACATGCTTCTGTCTCTACTCTCTCCACCTTCTGCCCGTCTCGGTCTCAGTCTCACCACCTCAGACTCTCAATTTCGCAGCATCTCCCCATGATGGCACTCACTCAGCGCTGAAGAGCTTCAGCGTTGTCTGTCTGGGCTTTTTCTGATCTCTTATGTAACCTCTGTCCTTCCTTTCTTTTTGAAATTTCTAGTTTTTATCGTGATTTGTATATTGATTAGCCTTAATATGAATTTTATTGCCTGGTGAGTGATGAAGAATATTAGGGACTTTTAAGATAAATATTAATCTAAGTAAATGGATTACCTGTAAACCGAAGAAACTCGGATCAAACACAATCCCTTTTTGCCGATTTAAACGGCCCGTGCCCGTTTGAAAATAAACGGGTGCACTATGTTGACTCTCAAGCCAGCCAGTCCTCCCCGTTGCTCCTTTTAGTCTTCACCAATGTTTAATAATACTATTTCTAATTTTTAATATAAAAACTAATTTAATTTTTAATTTGGTTTTAAATATAAAATTCTAAGATAATTTGTCTATCAAATTTATCTATTTTTAAAATAGTTTTTGTAGTAGTTTTACATATTAAATATTCTATCAAATGATATTTGATTAGTAAGAGTATTCTAGAAAAGACATCATCTAATTATTACTAACTCAACAAAATTTTTTAATCTCTTCAAATTACTCAACTAATTCTTACTACCTCTGATCCTGATTAAAAGAGCTAGTTAACTAATTTGAAAAGATTAAAGAAATAAGTTAAGTTAGTTATTTGTAATAAATATGTGTTATCTTTTCTAAAATATCCTTACTAATTAAGTATATTGGTTAGAACGACCATTATTAAAAGGACTATCTTAAAAAAATATATAAATATAAAAGACAAAGTGAATTGAGGTCTTATATTTAATGCTAAAATAAAAATCAAACGAGATCTTATATTAAGAACCAGAGGTAGCATATTGAGAACCGGAGACAATATTAAACTTGATATTTGTTGTTAATAGAGTAGAAAGTAGACCAAAAATATTAAAAATGGACAATCTTAGCTTTTGAGATTGGAAAAGCCTAACCTCCAAATTTGTGAACAAATTAAAGTTCAAGAAATCTCCAAATTTTGCGAGTAAAGTTCAAAAAATAAGCAATTTGATGCCCACATTCTCAAACAGATGAATTTTGTAAGTAGAACAATTTTCGTCTTCTCGCACAAGCTCTTGGTAATTATCACCTTCTCTTTTGTCTTTTTTATGACACGTTAAAAAAAAAAAATCCTCCTGCTAGTGATAATATATCATTGAGATCGATCCCCATAAGGAATTTTTCTTCTTCTTAGACTTATACTAGCACACAGTTCTTTATTTCGTTGAATTTTTTGCAAATCGCTTGTGAAAACACACGCACGACATAAAAGTTTCATGAACAAGAGCTTTTAGAAAGAGAATGCAAAATGTTCTACAGTCAGCCTCATATATCAAACGTGGAGTAAATAGATGCTCATGCAAGTGTCTGGGAACTTTGATTTTTAAAAAACAACTTATTTAGATCAGGGTCGATTGGAATTTGTAGATCAAAATGGTTTACTTAAAAAGGACATGGTTACGTTTATTAAAAAAAAAAAACATGTAATTAAGTTACAAGTGCGTGTCTATACATGGGAAAAAAATTAGAGGGCGACTTTCAGAAGATTTAAATTACTTTTGACAAAAAACTTTAGATCATACTTGGCCTAAGATGTATTGATGCCAGATGTGGTGGATGTGGAAAAAAATTAGAGGACGGCTTTCAAAGATTTAGATTACTTTGGATAAAAAAAATTTAGATCATACTTGCTCTAAGATATATTGATGTCAGATGTGGTGGATGTGGAAAAAAATTAGAGGACGACTTTCAAAAGATTTAGATTATTGACCAAAAGAATTTAGATCATAATTAGCCTAAGTGCTACTGCTTGTATTGATACCAGATGTGGTGGATGTCGTATGTCTCTTCTTTCAAAGGTAGTAATATTCTAATACTCCTTCAGTCCTTAATATATGATCTAATTCTTGAGTTGGTTTTGATCCTAAATATAAGACCCATTTCTCATATTTATCAATTTTCTCTAAATTACCCCTATGAATACTCCTCAACCATAATCAAGTGAAAGAAGAAAATGGGGTATTAAAAAAAGATGATTATGGTGTTTTAAGAAAAATGTGTCACTTTTCTTATAATTAACTAACTTACCTAACTTTCTTAATCTAATCAAATTAGTTAAATGTCTTATATTAAGGACCGGAGAGTATATAGTTTGTGACAATATGAGGTTTGACTTTGTACAAGGATTTGGTATTGCTAATATCCATAAGAAAGATATCTCCGATTCTTAATATAAACATAATTGTTGAGTTGATTTTAATTCTAAATATAAGATTTATTTCTTATATTTATCAATTTTTCTTAAATTATCCTTATAATAGTTTTTCAACTATAATCAAGTAGAAGAAGGGGAGGATATTAAGAAAGATGATTATAGTATTTTAAGAAAAACATATCATATTTCTTATAATTAACTAACTTACCTAACTTCCTTAATCTAATCAAATTAATTAAATAGATATTACATTAAAGATAAGAGGAGTATATGTTTTTGTTTTAATACTTGTGTTATTTTCTTTTGTAATTGTTTGTAATGTTTTTATTTTTTAATTAGTTGAGTTTGTATCTTAGGTTGTAGGGATTATTTCTTGCCTTCAATTTTTTAATGATAACCGATAAAATTGACTCTTTCTGACGGAAAAAAAAAATAGTAACATTTAATTCTGCCTCACAGGCTCACACCTATTTATACTTCATATATGTCTTCTTTCACATTCAATTAATTAGAGGTAATCACATTCCATCAATAATCAATTAATTTTGGCAACACCTAATATTAGTTGGACTGAATAAAGTGACATGTTGCCACAAAAAGTAATGCTCCCCCAAGATCACCAATAACCCCACAATCCCCAGCGCAATCGCCAATCCTCTCGCAGGAGGGGACGAAGTCGGCAGCCCCGAAGAGTTAACAGAATCATATGAAGGATCTCTACCACATCGTTTGATGTTTTCAGATTCTTCGGGTGATTCTTGGCTTCACCATTTGCAGATAAATTTTTCTTCTCCTCCTTCGTGTTCTTTAATGTTTCAAGCAAGTGATCCATGTTTTTGAATCCATAATAAATTATCATTTGCCTGCCAACAAAGACGACTTCTGAAAACCAAGATTCTCTTTCTTTTTTGTCCCTTTGGCGAGTAAACAAATAATAAATAATTTTCTTTCAAAATGGACTATGATACCAAAAAAGGAGGTGGATGAAAGGTTACCAAAAATTGACGCGGATGACAGGTCCTTCAAGCACAAGTTGGTTCTTCCCTTTTGAGCAAAGAAAACCGCCATTTGTATCAATTCATCCCTATTCCATGAACAAAAGGAAGAAAGGCACACCACTTAATTGAGACAGGAGGAAACACTATAGTCACTTGGGCTGAGAACTCTAAACCTTAATGGGTGTGCGCGCGCGCGTGCGCGTGTGTGTTGGACTAATGCTATAGTTACTCCATGGAAATACAAATATGAATTATAGAAGCCTAACAGAAATCTTTACTGAGACAGAGAGATAATAAAACCTGTGAGATATAATCCTCAACAGGGTATCAACGACTTTGCTGAATTCTCATACTTGAAATACTAATCGAGGGCAGTCATGAAATTTCCAGTCCGTGCAATGTATACTTCACCTTGAAAACCAATTAATTCTGGGAATTCTGTGTGCCAGAAATGAGAGTGGAATCAAGTTACAGTGACAGATATTGAGGGGTATCTTCCATTCATTTATTTTTTGATTTTCTCGACATTTTTTTTAAAACCTGAATTTCTCAACAAATCAAAGAAAGAAAAACCAGAAGAAGTCACAAAGCTTTCAACATGTCATTCTTCTTAACTTAATTTTTTGTTTAAGGCTTGGTTTGGATGAAACAAAAAGAGAGAGAGAGGGGGGGGGGGGGAGAGAATATTATGAAAGAAAACTCACAAAAATAATAAAAAAATTTACCACTTTTGACCGTTTTCCCTGCTAGTATTCTTTCTTCTCTAATTTTCTTCCCATCCAAACTAGGAGTAAGAGAACCTTGCGACACTATCCTAAATAGAAACAAACATCAAAATATATTTAGAATGAGTACGAGTGCGTCCTATATACTATTGAAAACTAGGCTATCAAAAAAATTGCAAATCTCCCTTCTTAACTATGCTTTAACATTATTTGCTGATGCCTAGTTTGTAAACTCCATTTACCAGATAGATTGCAGTCTTCTTCATGATATATTAATGTGCAAAATTAACTATAACTTCCACCTCATTATCAGGCTCCAAATTATAGCAACTGAGACCACTCCTCCTTTTTGTATCAAGTATCCAACAGTAATTGAGGATATTCCTTTATTTACTTTCCTCAAACAAATAATAAAAAATAAACAAAAAAAGTGAAGAAAGGGTAAGTCATAAAGCCTTTGACCTCTCACCTTCACCGGTTGTTTAAGCAAAGCCTTGCGAGAAACAAACATCACAATATGCTTAGAATAAGTACAAGCAAATCCTGTTCATCAAAAAAGGAAGAAAAAACAGAGCACACGTGAATCATGAGTTGTGATTAACCCCAATTAACTAAAAGCTTTACAAACAATACCTTCGTGTGTATGCTTTAACTTAACTCCGTGATGCTCAGTTCATTAGTTTCTTCAACATATATAAGATATATTGCAGTCTTCTTCATACTATATTTATGTGCAAATTCAACTTTAACTTTCACGTCATCTCCAGGCTCCAAATTAGATGTTATCTTCTGCCATTCTTCATCAGCAGAAGTGGTTCCCGTTCCAGCATCTCGCTTGTAGAAATCTATGGTAGTTTTGGTGAAATTCTTTATCATAACACCGATGGGATACACAGATGACATGCTATCTTGAAGAGGTAAATAGATAATGTGGAGGACCACTCCTTTCAAGCAACGGCCAACAATTTGAGGAACTTTAAATGATACTGATGATCCTTCATTTACAAAAACTAGCCAATCCGGATAATTGTCCATTGGAAGAGAAAAGTCAAGCCCATCATCATTGCATCCCTATTCCACGAACACAAGAAAAGACGAATCCCATTTGAGAACACAGGAAATATAAAGATAACAATATTTAAAATTTGGCATGCATATTAGATAATGTGATGGACAGTCGATATAATAGCAGTATAAACACATTTATGCACACAAGAACATGACATTGTTGAAAGAATATGTCCATTATTACTCACAGTTATGAGAAGAGATAAATCACATTGCATTGTACATTCAAGTTTCAAAACATGTAGTTAGTCAATAGATTTTTTTTTTTTTTTGGTGCCATGGTTTAATACTTATTTAAACATATATGTTCTTCACATATTCAGAAAAATAGCATTCATTGTAGTAGAAAGATAAAGAGGATAACCTGTGAAATACTCTTTAAAAGTGTATCAACAACTCTGTTGAAGCCGCTGACACGAATAGTTAGAGAACTGATAAATGTTTCCAAGCTTTTAATGGGAACTTGTGCATGAAATTCAATTAATGTTGGAGCTTTTTGACATAAAGCTTGAGCTGTACTTTGCCTTGGTTCAAAACTATCATTGCTTCTAGCAAATAGATGTGATATACCCCTAGTTAGAGATGGCAAGATCTGAAATGCTCGAGACAAGGACCTTGAACGATGTGATGGTGACATCCAAGACAAAACAAGAGATGGAAATACATCTCGCGATGATCCTTCATAACCACATAAAGACACACATTTAATGCTTTTCAATCTCACTAACGAGAATGGAACTTGCGTTATAGCAGTTTGATTTGCAACCAAAGTTGTCAAAGAATCCATCTTCCCAATGTCTTCTCCTAGCTTTTCAATCTTTGAACACCCACAAATATTTAAGGTCTTCAAGGATATCAAGTTATATACACTGCGTGGGAGGCGTTTGAGGCTTTTGCAGTCCTTTAGATTTAACAAGATAATATATTTAAGATTACCAATGGAAGGGTGAATTGTAGACAGACGTGAACAATCTTTGAGTACTAGCTTTTCAAGATATGGTAACTTTGAAAACTTTGGCGTTTCAATCAAGTAATGAGAATGACTCAGATTTAGAATTTTCAACTTCTCCAACAACTGTGCAAAGAGAATGTTTTGACGTTAGTTACATACTAAAGAACAAGAATAAAATAAGAAGTAAAAATAAAACTATTGTCATCATTGTTTAACTTTAACAAATAATTGATGGTGAGTACCTGACAGTTCTCCCATACTTTTATGAGATTACTCCACTTTAAGTCAACGGCAACTATTTTTTGCAGGCACAAGTTCATTGGCATGTTCTCCCGGGTAAATCCATGCCAACAAAGCCATCTCAACTCTGTTGATAGATAATTATAGTCTCCATCAAGTTGTACATGACTAAGCTGTAGCAAACAAAGCCTCTTCATCTCCTTAAATGCTTTTGCACTGCAGGATACTGAATCGTTCTTTGGCATGTTTAAAGCTAGTCCTTTAATAGCTTTTGTTCCCTGTAAAATATAAAAAGGAGAAAAATAATGCCATATTAATTAAAATTTATATAATGTAAATGAGCAATACGTGATAAAACTGTCAACCCACAGTTGGAAACAAAAAGATAATGGAAGCATAATGAATGTGGAAAAAATAGATATTGAATCATAAATTCAAAACCTCATGGGAATAGTGCAATTTAGTAATCAAGAGACATTCTTACAGTGCTCTCTCTCAAAACATCCAGCACATCATCACGATACCATAATCTAGTCCGGTTCTCAGGCTCATCTGGTGCCACCGCACGAATTATTTCTCTTCCCATATCACGTAATAAGTCATGCATTTCAAGCTTATTTTTGTTGCCAACCTTTACAAGACTCAATTCTATTAGACGACTAATTCCAATTTCTGCATGAAGTCTACAACCATTTAATATTTCCACAGCATAGCTTCTGTCCTTTCCAACCAAAAAACAACATATGTCAAGAAATACATCTTTCTCTGTATTGTCACTCAAACCATCATAACTTATTTTCAACTTTTCATGTATTTGACCATCCGGAATTTGCTGTAATTTCTTCAAAACATCTTCCCAAAATTCTATTTCTCTATCAAACAAGTGAGAGCCAAGAATTTCTAGAGCCAGTGGCAACCCTCCAGAGTAAAAAACTACCCTTCTTGAAATTTCAATGAAATCCTGTTCAGGGGTTGCTTGTTTAAATGCATGCCAACTAAAAAGTTCAAGAGATTCATTGTCATCCAATTCTTTCATGGTATATACATGAATTACTTTAAGGATCTTGAGCAAACGTTCATCTCGAGTTGTAATTATGATTCTACTACCTTGGCCAAACCATTCCCGACTTCCACATAATGCTTTGAGTTGGTCTTCATTGTTGACATCATCAAGTACAACAAGTACTTTTTTCTTACAAAGCATTTCTTCTAATAGAGTTTTCCCCATTTCTACATTTGGTAGTGCCCTTCTTCTTGATTTGAAAATGTCTGAAAGCAGTTGTTCTTGCAAGTAAACTTGACCATTATCTTGTTTCCAAACTTCTCTAACATTTGCAAGGAAACACTTTCCTTCAAAACTTTGACCAACTTGATTGTAAATGGCTTTAGCAATCGTTGTCTTACCAATTCCCCCCATTCCCCAGATCCCTGCGATGATAACATCTTTTGTTTTGCTTCGTAGCAATTGAAGGATGGCTTGCATACGAGACTTCAAACCCACTGGATGGCGAGCAACAAATAGGCTTTTATTGTCACCCAATTTCTTTGTAATAGTTTCAATGACTTCATCAATCAGCTCAGTTTCAGTTCTAGCAACAATAAGAAGCTACATAAGAATAAATTATACCAAGAATCCTTAAAATGCATCATAAACAAGTCTATTTCCTTTTCTATGAAACTGTTTTCAATGAAAACTGTATCTCCAAAAGGTACACAAACATATTATGAGGAAAAAAAATGGAATTTAAGAAATTTGACCATTCCAACGATAACCAAAAACATAAAATTAAAAATACCTGTAGTTATGCATATCCCACCCAGATAAATTGGCAACTTCTATGAGGGCTCTCTTTGAATTACTTTTCCAGTTCTCCACTTCATTACCCAAAGTTCTCTTGACAAGTCTTTCCCATGCTTTTCCAAAAGAATTTGTTTGCTTCCGTACTTCAGATGGTCGCACATCAAAAAATATTGGTAACACCTCTTGATAAGTTGTTTTGTAACACTCCATGATTTTCTTTAATTCTTGCAAGCACCAACTAGAGCCAGCATAATTCTTTGATAGTATAATTATTGAAATTTTAGAACTTTCAATTGCTTGCAGAAGTGAAGATGAAATACCTTCTCCTCTTTCAATTCGTTCTTCATCCATGTAGATGTCAATACCTGCTTGCTTTAGAGCAGAGTAAAGATGAGTAGCAAAGGATTTGCGTGTATCTTCACCTCTAAAACTCAAGAACACATCATAACTATATTTGAGCTTTGGCTTGTCAGGACCACTTCTTACTATCTCTTGAAACAAGTCATGAACATAAAGGTTGTCATCTATGACCTTTACAAGGTTACGCTCAAAGAGTACAGGCATTCCCACTTCCACAGGAAATCTTAAGTCTTTTAACAACTTTGTAACATAGGTTTTACTCTGACCCACATAAAAAGAAGCTATATTAAAGAACAAATCTTTTTCTAAATCTGTTAGAAATTCAATGCCAACATAGAGCTTTCTTTGCATTTGACCATAAGGAATTTGATCCAATTCAAGCAATACACCTTGGCACTCCGGTAATGTCCTATTATGCAAAATACTGCCAATAACTTCAAGAAGCAATGGCAGTCCTTCACAAAAAGTAACGACTTTATTTGAAAGATCCTCAAAATCATCCTTTGGAGTAGCTCTCTTGAATGCATGCCAGTTGAAGAGCTTAATGGACTCATCACTATCTAACCTTTTCATTTCATATGATACATCAACAAAATTTTTAAAGACATCCTTATTCCTTGCAGTAATGAATATCAAACTCCCTCTACCAAACCACCTCATATTTCCACACAATTCCATGAGCTGGTATCCACTATTTACGTTATCAAGTACTACTAGGACTCTTTTTCCATGGAGTACTTTCATCATTTGTTCATGAATCACTAGGACATCTTTTTTCTCATCAATTTCAACTTCAGAAATATCTGAAATAAGCTGCTTTTTGAGAACTCTACCATTACGGTTATCCCATACATCCTTGATATTTGCAAGGAAACTTTTACCCTCAAAATTACTGCCAATTTTATCATAGAAAGTTTTTGCAATTGTAGTTTTACCAATACCTCCGTCACCCCAAATTCCAACTATGAACGTATCTTCAGAAGTAAGGTGTGCCTGCCTCAAGATATCAAGCAATTCCTTAAGATGACGTTGTAACCCTGCTTGATGTTGCTGAAGGTCGTGAAACAATTCCTCATGAAACAAGGATTTGTTTAACTTTGCAATAAGATTGCTGATTTTATCCCTGTCACAGATAACCAGTTAAAATTATATCTGAAAACGAAAGGTCTGTCTCAAGATGTGTGAGAGAGAGAATTCTCAACTTCTATATTTGAAATTTTGAATTCCTTTCTTAAGATTTATCTCTCTAGTAAATGTTTTTTTTTTTTTTGACCATGAACCAAATAAGATCTACTGATAAGTGAGAGTTAACGTGAGTTGACTTGTCTAGTATTCCTTTTGCTCTTAATTATAAGCAAAAACTACCCAATTTTAAGTGCATTCAATGATGTTTCCAATTGCATCCCTCATTCGAAATTATAAGAGCGGTAGTTGGTGTTGTTATAATATATGAACATCATTCGCGTTTGAGGAAAAAGCCCAATCTCAAACATAATTAAAAAGAGCAACACAAAAATTTTAATCGTACTACTTTAAAAATTATACTTTTTAGTTCGAAACAAAATCCCGTTTTATTAAATTAAGATTCCTGGTAACACACGACACGGCACATTTGTTTAAAAAGAAATTCTTAGTAACTTGCTTGAATAAATGCAGTATTAAAAAGGTGTGAGAGATCAATTACTATGAAGTCAGTAAAAAGCATAAAATGAAAGAGCAAATTAAAAAGGAATAGTTAAATTACCCCAAATCAGATAACGAAGCAGCTTCAGCGATGGCTGTTGCTGAATCCAAAAGCGAAGCAGCTTCAGCAACGAATCCTCCTGACTCCATATCCAAATCCCAACTATCTAATCTTCTCTGATCCACACGCTCCAACTGCTCACGTACTTGTTCCTCGCTCAATCCACAGAACACAGGCGAAACTTTTATTTGCGCAAGTTTTTGACACTTCCTTATAGTCACAATTCTCTTGAGAAACATGTCGGACTCAAGGAACTGTGGCGTGAAAACAACCACAATCATTCTGCACTTCACTATGTCGTGCACGAGAAACTCCTCCATCTGATCATCTATCAAAGGTTTGATTCCAACATCCCTAAAATATTTTTCCAAGCAGGTTTTCACATTATGTTTGGGATGGCTGATAGTTAAAAATACGTCGTACTCAAAAGTGCATTCCGGATTAGACGACGAAGAAGCAAAGGAAGACATGGTTGATTGCAAGAAGGTAAGCCAAGGAAAAGATATAGGTGCACCGATAGCAAAAGAGCAAATGATCTATTCCTGCAATCGCGCAGAGAAAAACGCAGTTTCTGCTATTTACGCAATTCCAAACTAAACTTACCTTCTGATAGCGGCTGAAATGATGAGTGAAATTTCTTTCCTCTTTCCGAGTCAATGCCGAAGTCTTTATGCAGGGAGCGAATTTTCTTTCATCTTTCGGCGCCAACGCGGAAATATTCTTGCAGGGAGAGAATTTTCTCCGGATATACTGTAGTTGTCGCGCCAGAAGGTGTTCGTGTTTCCGTGTTTCATTTTTGTGAGGAATTCCAAAGATTTCCTTTTTTTTTTTTTTGGCCGGCGATTTCCTTTTTTTTTTTTTAAAGAGTACTATTAAATATTTTTTAATATATGCTTTTAGTATTAGCATTCAATAAAAAAAGTTAGGGAGTAAAAATTAATTCTAAAGTCATAAAAATTTAGGAAAAATCCATATTAAATCCAATTGGAATACCCAAATCCAAATTCAGCACTACACTTTGAATAAATTTTTAATTAGTTCAGGAGGCCTCATTAAGAATTTTTAAATGTTATTAAATAACCAAAATATTCCTCTTTAATTAAAAAGAAAAATTGATTGTTTTACCTCTCTTAAATATTTGTTTTTTCTTTTATGATTATTTTTTAGGACTAAAAAACACATGAATTTGTAATGTTTAAAATTTGTATATATAACTAAAATCTTCAAAAATATTTTAATCAAACATTTTAAATTATAATATAAGTACCCTTCAAATAAATATTTTATTTTCTCATTGTAAATATTTATTTTTAAGATTTTAAAATAATTAATTACAAGAAATACTTTAGGTTAAGTTGTTTTGAATTATGTTTTTCGGTTGGCATCCAATGTTTGCTTATTCTAACATAAATTATAAGACCATAGTATTAAATATTTTTTATAATTAAGATATTTCAAGATTTTAAAAAATATTTACAAACATGAAATAAAAAAATATTTACTTTCAGGCTGTTTATGTTGAAATTTTGAAATGCTATATTAAAATATTTTTGAAGATCTTAGTTATATATACAAATTTTAAATACTATAAAATTTGTTACGTGTTTTTTTGGTCCTAAAAATAATCATAAAAATTGAGAGATCATTTGGAAGAGTAAAATAATCAATTTATATTTTAAGTAAAGAGAAGCATTCTCTTTAATTAAAATTTTAACAACTAGAAGGAAATTTGATAACCGCTTCGCACTAAAATATAAAACCAAAATAAAATTTGGCTTCCTAAGGCAATTTGATGATAATTCCTAATAAAATATAAAAACAAAATCAAATTTTGGTTTCATCCTCAACTAGAAAGAAACTTCCAAAATAATTGGACACAAAAGCAACAATTTATTTTCTTCTAGAGTAATCTTTTCCGTATTTTCTATCAGGAAGCCAAAATGATGGAATTGGCTTCCATCCTCCAAACCCAAGATTAGCATTTCCATGCGACACAGTTTATTTTTGCCCTCCCTTCGTACTTTACACCCACCACCAGCAAGCTTCACACACATGGCCGGCAACCTTACATCCTATCCTTGGCGATAACGTACCCCTTTATAAAAATTATTAATAAACTTATAATGTGAACTAGATAAGGAATTTTTAAGACTAACATGAAATTATTAGGGTTTTAAATTGCTTTGACTTGGTCCACTTAATTTAAATGAATGTGTTAAAAAAAATCTACAGGATCCTTTATTTTGTAAGTCTTTTCCACTAATTTTTCACACTTTTTAGTTTTTACCTTTTTTGTTCTAAGGATCTTCCATTGCAATTTGCACTTCTCAAGAAAATATATTGTTTTTCATCGTTTTGCAGGCCTTCTTGCTGATTTTACCCTTTTTCTACCTCAATTTTCAATGATATTTTATTTGCCCTTTATTCTCATATTTGTTCTATCTTGATATGTACATATAGCCAATGTAGCAAGACACGCGGAACACGAATGAGTGGCAAACCCAACAATGGCTTGATTTGTGGATAATTGGTACTAAAATACATATATTGCATATTAAACACTTGTTTTCAGAAAAAAAGAACGAAAGCAATTGTAGTTGATCTGAACTCTTTCATATTGAAGAAACAACAACCTTCACTTTGATGTCTAGAGTATCAGTATTTTATCATCACATATAAATGCCCATTTTCTGATGCTTCTGTTGAGAGGCACGATCACATTCAGATGGACTTTAAAATGTTTAAGAGAATAAAAGGGCTTAAAACTTGGGACTGCCTTTCAAAGAGTGTGATATGTCATCTAATACAGCAGCACATTTGTAGTCAGGACCTTTAGTATGACCCTGCACAGACTCAACTAGAAGATTACAATTTCAAATTCAATTAAGACCTTATCACAGACTAAACTATTTGGTTCCTAAGAACAAGTACCTCACTATGAAAAGCTACCAAAGTAAGGGTCCCTGATGAGCACCCAATGCCCATCACCTGATTTGGACCATCCAAATCTAATCTGGATGATCCGGATTTAATATTATTAAATAATTATTTTAAAATAAAAAATTATATTTTAAAAAAAAAGATAATTAAGAGATTATCTTTATTTTTTATCCTATACCTATTAAAATAATTTTTTTAAAAAAATAAAAATAAAAATAAATCTGGACGGTTCAGATCTGATGAGTATTGGGTGCTCATCAAAACTGATGAGCACCCAATGTAAATCCCCAAAGTAGAGCAGAAAGAAGCTTCACAATTTAATACAACTATAGCCAAAGGCTGCATCAATGTTTAGATTGAGCTCACAACTCAGGAGAAGAGACCACATAGTATCTACAGTACTTCTGCTAAAAAGAAACACAGAACTTAGCTATCTGTAAGTCATCTAGTTTCATCGGTACACTGCTCAAGGGTCACCTAAAGTCACACAAACACAAAATAGAAACAACTAGAAAAATGCTTTAAACATCACTGTTTACAACAAAAATAGACCTAAAAAGTTAGAGAACTCTCTAAATTCTCCATAAAATGGCTCTCAAATCACTTAGAGGGAGTTAGCAATAAATCATTCAAACTATCATTGTCTGCACATAAAGTCTACATGGGGCCAATTGCTTTATGATCATTAAGCGCAAAACATAGTGATTTCTAATTATGCCAGAACGTTGGAGAGGACGATCCCCAGCTAATTACCACACCAAGTTTGATTCATCAAGTTACATAAGAGAAAATAATGTTCAAAAGTTTCTACACTTGAGCCAACATTGAGTGAATTTACGTTTACGCTAGTTGTCTATTGTGGTAGAAGAATATACTGTGACAAGCATGCCAGAGGAAATACTCCACTTTAGGTTGCTCTTTCAGCTTCCATTGTTCAAATTGCTTCGCCTTTTAATCGGCTAGGAAACAAGTTGCTGTTAAAGCCTGACAGACTAATGGTCGTGATTCTCTTTAAAGATGATTCACCTATAGAACATGATCATCTCCAAATATTTTCAAACAAAAAGCTTGATTTAAGGTAGCAAAATTGGTCACCAGATTATCGCCATTACAATATCAGGTTAGTAACATGGGATTGAGCAAAATCAGTCTGTAGTTGCACCATTATAACTATCACTGTTAACCATATTTGCATCACGCGGTAAGTTAAAAGGCCATTAGCAAATGTATGTCAAATCTTAAGCAGATGAAAACACACTTTCCTGCTATCTATGCAATTTCCTTGGAATTGCTTTCCTCTTTCCGCGTCAATGCGCGAACCATGACAAGAAAAATTAAAAGAGACACATTTTGGTGAAAAAGGCTTATTAGACATTTGTCTTTCCTATTCTGGGGATCATGAGCTGGCAATGATAGTTCATTTTTGGCCACTTGCTTTTGAACGTTGAATCATTGCCTAGGCACTTCACTTCAGTGAAGCTGGTTACAATAATTCTTTCATTCAATTCTATAAAAGCATTTATTTATTATTATAAGGCTAAAACATATATTTAGTCCTGTAACTTATATAAAATTTTAATTTGGTTCCTTAACTTTAAAATATATACATTTGTTTTTTTAACCCTAAAATCGTTAAACTTAAATAATGATTTTTTTCCTAACAATTTGATATTTCAACTTAATATATTAGTATTTGAGAATATTTTATCAACATAAGACCCCAGTGTCACATTTTTTGTTAACAATTTTAGATTTAAAGGATTAAAAGTATACTTTTTAAAATTAAAAGATCAAATTAAAACTCTCTATAAAATTAAAAAAACTAAATATATATTTTAGCCTTATTATAATGTCATAATGTGGTCAAGTCAATAAGGGAAGGTAAGGCCATGAGAGGGACTAATTTCAGTGAGCTGCAGTTCCTGTCAATTTAAAAAAGAAAAGAAAAGAAAAGAAAAGGTAAGTTCAATTGCCAATTTATATAAAAATCATACTCCTCTTGCACAAAGTCTCGTTCTTAAATTCTGGTGGCATGAATACTTCCTTGCAAATAGAAGGGTGGGAGTTTGATTCCACTTATAATAAAATTCTAATTGTAATTGTAATGTAATTTCATGCGGTTAATATATCTATTTAATTAAAAAAAAATTACCCTTCAATGCAAAAATTCCCAGTTTTGGAGGAGGGAAAGGGAATAAAAACTGTCTTCTTTTCCCTCCAGTTTTCCAAACCATAGGAACACTCACTCATTTTCCTTTATCCCCTCCAAAGATCCAAATAATGAAAAATAACCAATTTAAACAATTTCTTTAGTTTTTTTGAATTAGTTAACTAGATTTTATGTTTAGAATAGGAGAAAATCATATATTGAATGATCTCTGCTAAAAAAGACTCATCCACTTCTGATTCTAAGCTTAAATATTAAAATTTGTCATCCATTCATTTGAGAAAAATAACTTTAATTTTTAGATTTTTTAGATTCCAAACCTTATCATGATTGTTCTCTAAAATTATAACTTTAAATGGGGACCAAATAACAAAATCATAGAATTGTTAAGACTAACTTGAAATAGTTAGAGTCTAAGTTGCTTTGATTTGATCTACTTAAGCACGTAAAACCACCACTTTACCTATTAAAAAATTTCTAATAAAAAGAACCATACAAGTTATAAACTGTCCACTTCATTGTATTAAGTTATTTATTTATTTGTTCAGTACTTTTGTG